CTGCCTACTTTGAGAACATCTCACTACCACACTAAAGTAGTGAAACAGGGTGATGTGGCACTTTCACCGTAACTGCAAGAATGCATACTTGGACACTGCCCCTGGAATTCAGCCAGGCTCATCTCCAGAAGTAAACAGTTGAACAATATACAAAATAAAATGTATTTGTTTTTGTGGAAATTTTGTGGATGTTGGCTCCTGCTGTAGTCCCCCTCAGTTAAAGCAACTTTGATTGGTTTATTCAAGACTGCTCATGGACACAACTATAACATAATTGGGGGAAGGGGGAAGAAAAGGCTACTTGGGATGTCCCAGCAAAATCCCAACTTACAAGGTGAAGGAGGCCAGTGAGATTCCATGAAGGATAAGAAAGGAAGATAGTAGCAGTCACCAGTGGTTTGTGGGAGGAAGTCTCAGCTCAAAAATGTGGTAGTTTGGAGTCAAGTGAGTTTGAACCTCAGTATCTGAGACAGTCTGTCTCAAATGAGAACCAGGCCACATGGGAACCAAATACTGGATTTCCTGAACTGTTCTCATCCTGACCAGCTGAGCTATAGTGGACTTCACATAATCAAGGGTTGGCAACTGGGCTGCACAAAGGGCCCAACATCATGTCATTCACAAGAGTGGTGATGCGCCTTTCCCTATCTAAAGTGGGCAAGACTTTCCTGAAAACTTAAGTTTCACAGATTGCTGGTTAAAGCGAGACTTGGGAGCTGTAACAAAGTGGGTGTTTTCCCTTGTTATGTTGCATGTGAGCCTACGTGAGTCTTACTGTTTTGCATGAATACTGTGTGTGCCTCAGTTTCCCCATGTATTGCACCAATGCCTAGGTGGTGGGAATAAGGGTGTGTGACTTTTGCAGAGACCCTTGGGGCCAGGTGAGGAGGCTTCAGCTGCCTGCATGTAAGTGATAGCTAATGCCCTTCATAACCTGAGACCCAGGAGGGGGATGTGACCAGGTGACACTTTGCCCAGGAAGCGAGACAAAGACCAGGAGGAGGAGCAACAGGCGTGTCGGGGTCAGGCTGCTAGAAGCTGGGCAGTCTCCAGTTTGGGACTCAGAGGGGGGAGTCCAGGGCATCAGTTCGAGGTCGCCCACAAAATGGACTTTGCTGAAAGTCACTGATTTCTGTGCTAACAAGCTCTGTTCTACGCTGTGTCCCTGTTGACTAATAAACCCTTCTGTTTTACAACACTGGCTGAGAGTCATAGGTGACTGTGGAGTTGGGGAGCAGGGCCCCCTGGCTTCCCCAGGGGTCCCATCCAGGTGGACCCGCCAAGGGGAAGTGTACGGTGTGAACAGGGATGCTGAATGCTCCGAAGTCAGACCAGGAAGGCCACAGCTGAAGAGGCTTTTTGCCCTGGACAGCGTGCCCTTAGGGGAGTCACACCACCCCAGAGTCCTGGTTGGCTTCATACAGAGCAGTTCCAGAGCATCGGACCTGTGACTCCATCACAGGAACTAAAGGGGCAAAAGCAGAAAGAAACCCACAATTCTAAAGACTATTGGATGTTGTCTAATGGCTACGCATTTGCAACACGAATGTCCAACACACACTTCAGGCACCTAGTTTGATTTTGTGTGATACATACTAGTTCAGATATGTACAATTTGGGGGGGCTGGGTAAAACTGCTTAGATTTTGGCCTGGTTAACACCGACTGCTATCAGGCATCATTAAGTAGAACAGGAGAAGAGCCCAAAATGTTTATGGAAGTGATTTTAAATTCACAGCTAGCTCTGAAAGTTCCCATAGAGGCTATCAAAGGGGCAGAGGGCTCATTGTTTATACATATTGAGGAACATGAATTGCCCTCAAGCACATTTGGGTAGGAGGTGATAAAGGCATTCCACTAGGAGTGGACTCGAGACCTCCGAAAACAACAGAAGGACCAACCCACAGAACCTGAGATGTGATCTGGTCCAACTAAGAACCTCTGCTCCAGCCTGCTGGAAGCGACACAGTTGAATGAGGGTTCACACTACAGTCAGCTTTCCCAAGCTGTGTGCTATTCTGTAGGTATTACTGCCACACTCCAATTTCTAGCCACGTTAGCAATATAAAGAGAATAAGGCTTTCAGAAAAAAATAAAGCTACTTTAAAGCATTTGCTTGTACACACACAAATTACATTTTAAGACATCTCTATGCTGCATGCACTGATCTATTAGAGCACACCATATAGCCGTGCTTTAAAACTATTACACAGGACCAGATGGAATGACATGGGTCCACCATGTCATGGAGTGGAAGGGCCCCAATTTCATCATGTATATTTGTAAACTTTTTTTTAAAATGTTGTACAAGACAAGGGCAGACTTACACCCCTGCAAAGGACAGCATCCCCTTTTTAACCCCTTTGACTGACTCTTCTGGGCAGTTGTTCAAATAATTTTACCACCACTTTAATGCCAGATAGCAATCTAATTTCTTACTAATGCTACTGGGCTCCTCAACTGGAAGTCCATTACACTCACTCCCTATTTATGTCCAGTCTCCTTAGAGTCCGATATATATTGTAATGAATCCAAAACCTCCCATTGGGGTTAGGGCTCTGTACTAAAAGCATTGTGGTCCCTTATCCCGAAGGGCTTAAGTTTGGTCTCCTAGTTCTGAGCTGCTCAACAGTCTTAAATATGGGATAACACCAAGTGCAAACTGTATTGGTATGTTTTGGTCATAAAATATACTTTTCAGTTCAAGTCAGCAAGCCATTCTTCACTGTTGCTGCACAACTGACAGAGAATTTATCAATAAACCTAGATCTTTTCTCTTTACCATATTAACTGACTCAGTGTCATTTAAAGTATATTAAATACTGCAATATAGCAGACTCACAAAACTAAATAATTCATGAAGAGAAAAAGGTCTCTACACAAAACTCAGACATTTTACAAACCACTCATTCCCCCCCCCCCCAAGTTTTATTTTTTTTACTCAACTTGGGGGAATTAGCGTCTCTGACTTAGTTATAGCAACAGCAAAATAATCGTTAGGAGCTCCTTCATACTACTGTTCTACACCATCCATCACTTCAGAAACATGCTTAAGACAGGAGTTTGAATTTCTCCAGGATTCAATCTAAAATGCTTCTAAATATGGATAACGCCTAGACTACATTAACACATTAAAGCTTTGTAGATTGCCATCAGTGCTTCCACAGCTTAATTTCATCTATCCCTCACAATTCAGATCTGCAAGCACTTTCATCCTAAAAAAAAATCATTCCAATTTAAATATAAAACTCATGATGCCTGCATAAGCAGATTGCAAAGCATGTTTAAGAGGATATATATTTAAAACCCGACAGCAAAATTTTATTTCTTCCCTAAATAGTCAAATTCTATTGCCTGCAAGTTAATAAAAAAAAGCATATTCTACAATCAGTTAAGTATGGTAAGGTTTGAGGAGTATGATTACATTGACAAATCAAACTAATTTTTCTGAAACTCAGAGGCTGTCTTAGTAGAGAATACACTAAAGTGATGGGATGTTGTACGTTTGAAGTGATTGATACAAAACTCAAATGGATCTGCTGCATTCTTTTACATTTAGAAACTGCACAGAAGGAACAATTCACAATACTCATAACACAAAATGGATGCTTTGTACGCATAGCACTAGTGTAACTCTGGAAGAAATTTGTCTCTCTGGTTATGTAACATGCTGCTACCACCTGAACGGAGGATCCATTTTAGCAGTTCAACTCCTATTTCCCGCTACCATTTACAAATTTAAAAAATAAGACATTTTAAACTCCCTCTTATCTGACAGTCCTGCAGCTCATAATGACAGATCACATACACCAATGTAGGTTACGAACATGGGACATTATGGTCAGATTAGTTTGAGATTCACAAGAAGTACCTTACATAAGCCAAAAACTCATCACATGGAGTTAAATTTTAAAGAAAAAACCATAATTTTCTATTTTCTTAGACATAAAAAGGGTTCTGTATATTAGTTTTTAGACATACGATTGAAGTATTCCTTTAATATAAAACACTTTGAATTTTTTTTTGGTATAGCAGTTCAAACTCTGCTTTTATCTGTAAGCCAGAGCATGTCAGAGGAACACCAGAAGGCTTGCTGGTCTCTAATTTTGGTTTTCCTCCTTTGTAATTTGGTTTTCTAAAATTGTGTGCGGCTAACTATACCACACACGAGTAAGGAAACAGTTTAAATACTCCTCCATCAAAAGGAATATCAGGAGGGTTCTTATACATATTTAAAAAAAAAAGCCAGGTTTAGTTTGTCCAATATGTATTTATGCTAAAAAGAGCATTTTTTCAAACACTAAGTTATGTTAGTACAAATATGCAATGTTCCATTCTTATTCTTAAGGAAAAAAGGCAATATATCACTACTCATTTTTATCTAACGTGACAATAATAATTAATATATACCTTAAAAAAGGAAAAAAAGCTGTTTGGCAAAAAAAACCTTAAATGGTTAGAGATAAATATGCACTTAGCACTTGAGTAATTTTCTGTTGCCATGATAACCATAACAGCTGCTTACCTGATCTCCTGTTTCATTGGTTTATTGTACAGAACTAAAAAATTTTACCTTTGAGATATTGTAAACACTTCCTCTGCCCTGTAACCACCTTGTAGTTACTGAGCTTGCTTACAAGGCAAATGAAAAAAATTACATGAAACCTAATTTACTATAAAATGAAAACAACCAACCAGCTCCTCCTCTGAGTAAATGCACTATAATCACACTGTTTATTCCTCCTGCCTGCTTTAATTCCTCTGGTCAAACAGAACCCAGTTATCAACACAACACCTTCTGTAGACATAGACCCATGTGCCCTTTGCAGCTGAAAGTTATTACATTGAATGAACATTAACCATTTAAATGCCAGGGGTGCAATGTACATTTAAAATGCATTACTATATGGAATCTCAGATTAGATAGAGTTAAATTTAAAAAAAACAACACATATTAAGCAGAAAGACGAAAGGGGAAGGTACACTTTAAGATATTCTTACCTTAATCAAACGAAGGTCTCTGAACTCTAGTGCATCTCAGATTTCAAAATTCTAAAATACATTAGTTTCAAATAATCACCTACAATTTTCCTTTCCAATCTCCTAGGGAAAAAAAGAAAATGTATTTAAGCATTTGTACTTAAATTTTCTGTCTGTAAAAATCCTCTTACTCAGCTCTGTCTGCTCTTAAGACAGCACTGCTGACGAATTTCAAGGCTCAGTTCTTGACATGCAGAATCACTGAAGGATCAAGAGCATAAATGTCACTTCCTCTAGACAGCGCATCAGCTGCAAAGGAGTCTAATCTGCTATTCCCACCACAATCCTACCTAATTGAAGAGTAAATCCTGACATCTGCCTCCTGGTGTCATAAAATGCATGGCTTTCATTAAACATTTTTGAAGAATTCAGATTTAAATCCCATATTTAAAGGATTCCATTTTTAAATAAACCATCATGGTGTTCCACTTGAGAAACTACAGTAAAGGAACAGATAAAAAATTAAAACGCTAACAAAAAATTGGAGCCCAGTTTTCAACCTCAAACAAAATTATGCTGTCTCCACTTGGACTGCAGAGGTAACCAAAACCTTGAAATTACAAAATAAGTTTTAGAAAAAAAAGATCCTAAATTAAACATTCTTAGGAAGTGCTTTGTTTATAATGTCTGTGCTGGTCCCACAATAATTTGTGAAGATTTTCCATCTACTTTGTGAGTTTTGCATATTTCTTACACAGTCCAACTAAGAACAGGAATAAGAAAAAGTATTTTGCAATGCAATGGTCCCACTTTCCTGAAAACAGAAGATAAATTGCTACGTGCATAAAAAATTGCAGATATATGCTATACTTGAATCAATAGGGGTAAAAACATTTTTTCCACACTAAAATGTTTAAAATGATCTCATTTTTTAATTCACTTTAAGCCCCATGTAGTTAATTTTTCCAAAAAGTAGCATTTTAAGCATCCCATCTCCACACACGCGCGCACACCCCCCCACCCACACCCACCCCACCCCACGCACGCCCCTTGGCTCTCATCTCTTTCCCTTGCATTCCTGATTTAAAATTAACAAAGACTCCCCTGTTGAACTGCTTTGCCATCAAATCTCTTGGTTTAAAAAGGATTATCCTTCACTAACAAACTGGTCTCCTTAAACAGAGGTGTGTTTATCTGCTGCAGGAAGAGACTTAAAATACACAATCTACTGTACACCTGAAACCAGAATTTTCATTTTCTAAAGCACTTGAATGTATTCTCTGTTCTAGTCCAACAAGGTAAATTTACTTTTAATACCCATTACAAATTATGCCCAATTCAGCTCAAGTCTGCATGACATTTCTTCATACAATCTTCTCACTGGAGGCCCAATTTAATAAACAAAGACAGCTTTAATAATTCAAATCTTACTTTCAAAGATGCGATGCGCCTGTCAGAAGCTTTCTGCAATATAGTCAGTAAATTTCTTCAGTCTCTCCAAGGCTTTGCATATATTTAAGCTTGCGTCGTGCCTTTTGAATGCTGATAACTACAGTGTTTCTTTTCTCTCCTTTAAAGGATTAAACATAACCACACAGGCATTTTTATTACTGCATCATGCACCATTAAATTGTCAGTTTTTCTTCTAGGAGTCTTTAAAAAAAAAAGTGGCCTTCAAAACATCTTTACAACAAAATGTTCATTTTCCAGCATTTCTTATTTATAAATTGAAGCAACAAAACCAAAAACCAGCTTACAAAGCACTTCATGTTTTCTTACAACCATCAAAAGTTAAAGGCTGGGAAGAACAGTTTAAAAAAAATAAAATCAAACTCTAGTTACTGTATATAGTGGAATGTGGACTTTTAAAGATTATAGCACACTAGGGTAACATCTCCTCAAAAGCCCCACCAATTTTAAAAAGCATACGTATTTAGTTTTTAATAACAGCCTTGCTTTACTTTCCAGGAATAATTTTTACTGGCTTCCTCTTCCACCTTCAAGTTTTAATGGACATAGTTCCCAAGTTCAGCAAAGCTTTTGAGCGACCACTCAGGAGACTGACGACTAAAACTAAAAATCAGTTTTACAGCAGAAATGGTCTGGTCCTTAACGTTTGTCTAAAAGGTATGTGAAACTGGAGATCCTTTATAGCGATAGCTTATCCCGGGCAGTTGTCTGCTAGATTGGGATTCAGGAGACCTAGGTTTAATTCTCAGCTCTACCACTCCTTTGCTGGATGACTGTGGAAGAGTCACTCCCCTGGCCCTGTGCTTGAGTTTTCCCATCAGTAAAATGGGGCTAATGAACCCTTTGTAAAGCATTTTGAGATCTATGGATGAAGAATTCTAGATAAGAGCCAGGCATTATTATTATTACTGGAGGTGGCACTCTTTAGTTTTTATTGTGTTTAAATATAGAGAGTCTACCTTAGTATACCCAGAGAGAGCCAGGTGTTGCCCACAGTAAGTCTAAATGAGCCTTTTGGTTTTTATTCACATCTCCATCCCAAGCTACCTTTTAATCCCAAATTATAGTCCCAGCATTCCTCTACATTCCAGCTGCGCATTGTATTAGGTCTCACAACCGAACAATATAAAATTGTTTCAGAACACTAACTGACACCTCCCCGGAGGCACATAAAACACTCAAATCCAACAAGCAAGCATCCAAACTAGAATAGAGTCTTGTGGAGCATTATGCTTACATGGATCTTTAGGATCTTGAAGAGTTTAGTGAATATGGAGAACGGGTTCTTTGGGAACATACTCAGAAGGTATACAACACAGTATCAAGAGGCTGAACTGGGTACCACCACATCTCACGCGGTGAACGGAAACAAAAGCAACTGATCACTGTTCATTTTGAAAGAGACTAACAAGTAATCATGAATAGCAGTCAGTTATTTTGACAGCCACACTATCACAATTCCATTCATCTAATTCTGTCACTGTCTTCAGAAGTTTCTCAGAGATACGCAATCTGAAATGCACAAGTGTGTTACTCACCACCTTCTTCGCATTCCTGACAACTAGTTGCTACTGCAGTTTGCACTCTTTCCACACTGATAATTCCACTGACAAAGTACAAGCCAAGAGAGAACTGCCAATGATGCCACACCAATTCCCTATCAGGATGGAGGAATTACTATTAGTACTGTTCAGCTTCAAGATGGGAACAGCAACCACTTTAATAAGTGAGTTTTATACAGTAGTTCCTTATAGCAACAGTCAGTGGGCTTGTCTACACTTAACAGGGGATCGACGAGCAGTGATCGATGCTTCGGAGGTCGATTTAGCAGGTCTAGTGAAGACCCGCTACATCAGCCGCAGATTGCTCTCCCGTCAACTCCTGTACTCCACCAGATCAAGAAGAGTAGGGGGAGTTGACGGGAGAGCATCTCCAGTCAACATCGCAGAGTGTGGACCCTGCAGTAAGTAGATCTAAGCTACGTCAATTTGAGTTACGCTTTTCACATAACTCAAACTGCGTAGATCAGATTGAATTTCCCCTGTAGACTAGACAAGGCCAGTGAATCCCAGGTATCCCCGTAACTTTCTGCAGGGACAGGAAACTAGAGGAATTATTTGTCCAGCAGTAGGAAGTTGCCACCAAGTCCACTTCTTGCTGACTCAACTGAAAAAACAACCTTTTTGCCTGTCAAGGTGTGCCCCGATGAAGTCTAACATTTGGTACCAATAGGTCAGGCACTTAAACGTGATGATTTTAGATCTCCTCTTTATTCTTGATATAACATCCATGGAAGTATATCGAATTTTACAACAACACTGTTAAAATAGCAGTAAGTCCCTGCATTACAGACCTTGCACTTCAGAAGTGTACAAATGAGGAATGAACTAACAAATAAACTACCTTTATGATTCTGCTATCTAGTGTGAACTGTTTTTATTTGTGTTAGTCCTTGCCCCCTTTCTCCTCCCCCTTCATTTTTCTAATTTAGATTGTGAACTCTTCAGGCCACGAACCATGGCTAATTGCTAAACAATACGCAGAGGTATGACACTAGATAAAATGTTTTATAATTGGGACTGACCTTGCTACTCAGAAATAACTGACATAAGTGCATATACAAGGACTTCTAACGTCCTTGATCAGATAATCCTGTTCACTGACTGCCTTTTGGGTCACCGACAGCTGTGAGGGGGAGAAAAGTGCAGCTAATGTTAGCATTACTTCATTCAACACAACTATAGTTGAAATGATACAACAGCCAACTGAACTCATGTGTCAAGATGGACAAGAGCACCACAAGTATTGAAAGACAAATTTGGACAAGGTAAGGGAGCTAATATTGGAGGCAGCCTTCTGCATTTCTCATTTCAAAGCATTCTACAGAAAAATGCAATGCACAGCTGTGAAGTTAAATTTTGGTGTTTGTCTACAGTTCTGAAGCTAGCGTATACAGTTATTGCAATATAGTAATAGGATACTACAGGACGTGTATTAGTAAGCCATTACTATATGCCTTGCATGGTTAAAGGACTTGCCGCCTTAAATTTCAGTATTTCCAAATCAGTATTAACAGATTACAGAGTTATACCCTATTGTATCTTATATAGTTGTTGCAACAACAGAACATTATGCTAGTTTCCAAATTATAACTGAATATCCAAATATGGAAGTTTTAGACAGTCAGCCTCAATGTCTTTTTACTGAAGTCTGTTAAACAGGAAAGAACAGAATTTTATCACAGAATAAGCCTTGGTAGAAGACTATCGAAATATAATACCTGATATGATTTTTAACCCCCAACACTGTCAACATTTATGCTCACTGCAACTAAATGCCCAATTCTGGCACATCCCTAATTCCAGACAATCTGCCCCATGACATGCAGCTTTACCCAGAGTAAGAGTGTGTATCTCATCCAATCAGCTCCACATTCTTCCAGAAAGAAGCTGAAGATGCTCACTTGAGACAATTTTTTCTCAAAGACTCATACCAGGATAAAAACAATTTTGGACACTAGGAAGAGTTGAGTAGGGGAAAGACAAGCTGTTTGATTACTTATGAAGCTTCTCTTTTTAATAACACAACACTGAAGACAGCATACAGATTCACAGATTCCAAGGCCAGAAGGGACCACTGTGATCATCTCGTCTGACCTCCTACATAACACAGACCATAGAACTTCCCCCAAAATAATTCCCAGAGCGGATCTTTTATAAAAACATAAAATCTTGATTTAAAAGTTGTCAGTGAGGGAGAATCCATCATGATCCTTGGTAAATTGTTCCAATGGTGAACTACTCACTTAAAAATGTATGTCTTATTTCAGTCTGAATTTGTCTAGCTTCAACTTCCAGCCACTGGATCATGTTCTACCTCTCTCTCCTAGACTGAAGAACTCTATTAGAGTCAGAGCAGGTCAATGTAGCCAGTAAGGTATCAGCAATTTGCCCAGCTCCAATACCTTATGCCAAAGGGTTAACTAGGTCAATGAAGATTTTTTATGCTGCTTCCTAGAACCGACATGACCTACAGACATCTGATTTTTAGATTAAATCTGGAATGGTCCATCAAACTCAATTTAAAAAAGGAGAAAAAAGGTAGAAAGGTTCTGTTTAAAGGGACACCACTACATACTTAAAAAAAAAAAAACAACCTGCAATTGTTTGCGGCACCCTCATGCAAGACTGTAAACCAAGCTATTCCTTTGGTGTTTTCATCCTCTTATTCGGAACTTTATCACCTGTTAAATAGAGCGGAAGTCAACGTGGCTTCCTGTTGCACCTTCTTGTTGATTTTAGTGATATTCAAATAGCATTTGACTGATAGCACTGGGCCTTGTCTAGAATTAGGAAAAATCAGTATTCCCTTTTCTCTCTCCCAGCATCTCTACAGTGCTAGCATAAACAAGGTTCAGTGTTCTCATTGCTCCGTCATATGGATTTTATGGTCTATCCATTTTCAGTGATAAGGAATGGGCAGGTTTCAGAGTAGCAGCCATGTTAGTCTGTATCCGCAAAAAGAAAAGGAGGACTTGTGACACCTTAGAGACGAACAAATTTATTTGAGCCTAAGCTTTCGTGAGCTACAGCTCACTTCATCGGATGCATTCAGTGGAAAATACAGTGGGGAGATTTATATACACAGAGAACATGAAACAATGGGTGTTACCATACACACTATAACATCCGATGAAGTGAGCTGTAACTCACGAAAGCTTATGCTCAAATGAATTTGTTCGTCTCTAAGGTGCCACAAGTCCTCCTTTTCTTTTTAAGGAATGGGCAATGTCTAGTGTTTTATTGAAATAGTGACTGTATATTTTAAATTAGATATTTGATATATAACTATCAAAAATACTTGAGTTTATTCCTCTCAATTTTCTCCTTCTTATCCCCCAATTTCTGCATTATTCTCTCCTCCTCCAGCTCCATTTTTGCCCAACCACTGAAATAGAGCACACAGATTACTTTTCAATAACTTCAAAACTCTACTGGTTCCCAGATGAACAGGATGGTATTTTGGTCCCCTGCGTTATCAATGTGAAGGCAGCAATGTTGTAATGAAAAAGATTTGATCTAAAAGGCTATCCAAATAGCACAAAAGACTTAAAGGTTAAAGAGTACTTATCAGGTAATGAATGGTGGGGGAGATGAAGCCGGAAGGCTGACGCCTTTAGAGTTACATTGAGAATACATGGAATTTTATATTGACATTTGTGTCATTTATTAAAAGCTCTTTTCAGTTTAAATATGGTATTTAAAGTAGGGATGACACCCAATTAACTGCTCAGTATCAAGATTACACTAATATTAATGAAAAATATCAAACGAGAAGGAGTTCTTAATTGTCTGAAGCCACATGTAGCTAAGCTGAAGTAAGCGCATCCCATTCAAAAAAAATTAAGCATCAGTTTTAGCCGACTTAGTTTCCATTCTGATTTTCAGTCACTTTAAATGCTCAATGATTTGAGTTGAGTCCAACTCTCCACTTCTGGGTGGGGGGGTGGGGGGGGAGGTGCACAGAACCCAGCTACAAAGATGCTTTCAGTACTGCAGATCTCACTGCTGCATCTCCAGCAAAGGCCTGAGCTAGCAGGTAATGTCTAGCGAACGTGTGAATGGAGCTCCAGGAGGCAGTCCTGTGTATGTCTTGTATCAGGACTTCCTGCAGAGGTGGCCTGTACTCTCATGGAGCGAGCTGTGACACTGTCAGGATGCGGGATGTTTGCAAACCTGTAGCACTCAACAATGCACCCAGAAGCCCGCTTAAAGATTCTGTGAAAGGCTACAGCTTTACCTCACAATCTTTCTGCTACGGCTAGCTTCGTTCTTTGCAGGTAGAATGCCAGGGCATATCAGATGATGATGAAGTGAAGTCTCTTCACCATAAGTGTGGGGTCTTGGAAAAAAGACAGATAAGTGAATACTTTGGTTGATGTTGAATTCAGAAGAAACCTTGGGGGGAAATTTAAGATGGAGGCAAAGGGATTCCTTTTCCTTGTGAAAAACCATAAGAAGGGTCTGTCACGATGGCTCCCAATTCACTGACCGTTCCCGCCAAAATGATAGCCACTAAAAAAAAGAAAAAAAATCAATTTTTGGGTGGGGGCATGGCACATATCTTATTGACACAAGATCATCATCTGAACTCTTGTTGACAAGATTGAGGGACCACGGAGGTGTAGATCTGACCACTGGCTGGAAGATCCTGATCAGCCCCTCCCCCATGAATAGTACTGTATCTGAGCTGGTGAAAACAATGTCCATCTACTAGTGGGAGGAAGGAACTAATCACTGCGAGGTGGACTCATAACGAGCTACTAGAAAGTCTTGAGTTTGTTTTGGTTTTTTTTTTTTTTTTTTTTTTTTAGAGACAGGCGATAATCTAAAACGACTGGAGTATCTGCAGTGACTGGAGAAGGTTGACAGTGCTGCACCCAGGCAGAGAAATGCTTCCATTTAGCTAGGTCCTTGGTGAATCTTTCCTACTTAAATAAGGAGTAAGGATAGCCTTTAACGGGTGCTGAGCAGAAGCATTCTATTTCAGATGCCCATCTCAACACCAGACAATGAGGTGGAGTGAAATTGGATTGGGGTGTCTGATTCTGTCCCCCACCCCCATCTAGAGTTCAGAGGTCTGGGAAGGGGTGAATCTGGATTAGAGGCAGGCTGACATTGTCAGGAGCTCTGGGAATCAAACCTGCCTGGATCAACTGGATGAGAGAAGAATGATGTTGGCCCTGTTGTGATGTATGTTTCGCAGGACATGTGAAAGCTGGGGAATGGGAGAAAAGGCATATCTGAGATAGTTTTTCTTGATAACAGGAGTGCGTTGGCTTGGAAGTTCTGGCCCATGGTTCCTCTGGAGTACTACTAAGGAATTTCTGTTTGTTTTGGATGCAAAGAGGTCCCACTGAGGCATTCCCCACT